AAACCGTAACACGAGGGGAAATAAAATAATCAGGCGTAGATGACCACATATGGAGGGAAAAGGGAGATCACCGCCCCTTATGAGATGAGGCTGAAATAACAGACAGAGAAAATCAGTGGAAAATACGTAAACTTAAGGAATCAGCACACATGCTAGGCCACTAGAGAAAAGCAATAATAAAAACAAAATTGCAATATGAGCTCTGGTAAAAAAAAATGATACTGAGACATTAAGTTTATATGTCCTAAAAATTCATACACTGACGTCGCATTGGATAAAAAAGCAATGGTTGGATCCTGTGACTTGAACCAAAGAGTTATGAGTTCAATACCTGGCAACTGCAATTGTGAACAAAAAAAAAAAAAACATAACTTGGAGAGCTGAGTTAAAGGGAGATAACTGAGAATTCCGGAAGAGGCAGGGAACTAGTACAATCTATCCCAGTGGACGAAATAAAGGGTTCAGTTCGAAATTCTAATCACCTGAAAAAGGCCGGAACGTACAACGGCCGAAACGTCAAGAATATGGCAATAAAGATGAGGACAACTGCCCGAACAATGTCAATAATGTAAATAATTACAATACCTCATCTCAGAAATATAGACAGATAAAAACATAGAATTAGGAATCTTTAAAATTTATCATCTGTTTTCACTCTCTCACACACACACACACTCTTGCTCTTTCTCCCTCTTTTTTTCTTTTGCTCTCTCTCTTTTTCTTTCTTTCTCTCTCTCTCTTTCTCTGTTTCTCTTACTTTCTTTCCCTCTCTCTCTCTCTGTTTTCTCCCTCGCTCCCTCTCTTTATTTTGTGGTACCGTGCCTGAAAGTCTGTTGACTGATTGATGCTACCTAGTGATTGTAAAGTCGGATTTCTCACTCCAAAATTTGTGTCGGTTAAATCAAGAAAACATTTTATTTCCTTATTTATCACCTCGCTTGATATTATTTCTAAAAAACGAATTACTTTTTTTTCACATGATTCGTTTTAATTTAACTCTCATTGTGATCTTACCGAGTTTTTAGATTTGTTTTTAAAATATTTTTCGATTACCTGCCTCCAAAAATAAGTTTGTCGCAAATATTTACTCGAAAGTTTATTTCTCAATAAAACATAATTTATGCTTGAAAAAATTTAGGCTAGGCATTCATCAGTCACGGGTGGTGTTGTCCACCGGATAATGTTTCAGGCGCAACGTCTAGACTGCTGTTTCCCGTCTCTCCTCAGTGCACAAAGTATGCATAGGTAGATATGGAAGAAAAGCAAATGCCGATACACATGGTCCCAACGCCGCCTTTGATACGATGTTCGTGAATACAGCCACGAATTACTATGTTTCCGGATATTTTGGGGAGAGACGACTCACGAAGACCTTCCCATGAGTGTGTATTAGCCACAAAGTAGTGCTAGTTTTAAATCAGTGTTATCCTTCACTTTGGTCAGATAGTAATGTATATAAATAAATATACACCAAATAGGACTTTTTTTTCTGATGAAGCCATGGAGCCGGAATGCATTTTCGGATAATATTTTCGAAACATACTTTCATGAACGTTTTTCCAAATATCAATAACTTATAACTCTGTCGGGACTACATACCCAAATTTATTACATATTTAAATGTCTACATATGATAAGAAATCAGGTTCTTTGCAACATGAACCTTCTTTGCATGAAGCATATATTCTTTAAAGTCGACAAGGATTTTTAGAAAGAAAGAAACATTTTGAAACTTGAGCTGTGATTCAGCATTTATTACAAGACTGAAATAAATTAACAAAGCCGCATAAATTTTCTTTTTCTACTGCTGTAAGAAATATCATGTTTATTGACTAAATAGTAACTGACCAAAAAGAGATCTTACTTCCTTAAATACTTTTACTTAATGACCCCATCGGGTTTTCTTTAGTTCAATTTGGTGCATTTTCAGACCCCTAAATATGTATTCATCCTATCATACCATTTACAGTCATAAACTATTTGACTGTTGCTATCATATTTTATTAAATATACACATGAGACGTATAAATACAAATAAAAAGGGAAATTACCCTTTCATTCCTACAATCAATGGCCTTTAAATTATAATAAATGCAGATTGAGTTCATAAAAGAAGGGTATCAAGTTGTCGGATCGACCAAGAACGATTTTGTTTTTATATCCTTATGCTTGGTTATTCTTCTTTTCTTTTTTTTTAATCAATCCATCCCAAGCAAGGCGATAATGCCACTAAGACATAACGGGCTACTGAGAGTGAAAGAGAATGAAAAGACTTCAGAATAAACCGGAAACACAATCTTAAACAGGAAACAATGGATAAGCCTCTACTCTTGTTCAAAACACTGGGGAGAATTGTGAAACGAACGATAGACGAACCTATCTACACTTTTTTTTTTTTAAAGCGAGCCGAAAATTTTTTCAGCAACCTCTTGTATTAGATAAAAAGATAAATAGATAAAAGTTATAAAATCTTGAGTTCAATTCCTGCTATTTGATTGATAATACCGGTTGTCACAAATTCTTTAACTTTATCAAGAAAAATTGACTTCGAACCAGCACAAAATAAATTTCTCTAATTTCTGTTTGCATTTCCAGGATGGGGAGTTATCCTTATTTACATTTGGATTATTGTCTTCATCTTTGTTTCGGACGCTATGTCCTTCGGCCTTCTTCTGGTGTCTGTCGATCTGGGTAACCTTCAGGGAATTTCGAACTCTTTATTCAATCTATGGGTATAGGTTGTTCTCGTTTCTGCTTCCCATGTCTACAAATGCCTCGTCTTTGTTATTCTTTTTCTGTTTTTTAAATCTCAGTTATTGCTCGACCTGTTTCCACTGAATCTGAGTTCAATTCCTGGACAGAGTAGCACAGACGCAAATACACGGAAAACTGAGCGAGCAATAACTAAACATGACTTAAGAGATGAGATATTCCCAGGCAGCGAAATGAGTACAATCCTCCCCTAAATCGAATAAAGGATCCAGTTCCAAATTTTCTGAAGGTTACTCGGATAAAAAAGCTCCTGATGAATGCCAGAGGCCACTATGACCATAATGTTGTGATAACAAGAATGAAGACATTAATCCTTCTGTAAACAAAATGAAAGGAAACATTTACCTTGCAATCAGTCTTAGATAAAGTATGCCTTCTTATAACAGCTCCCTTAGTATTTTAGTTGGATTTTTTTTTCTATTTTTTCAGACAACACGAAATTAACGTACAATAAAAATTATATTATAATTGTTTCTTACAAGAGCCCATCACAAATCCAAGCTAGATTTTCAAATCTAACATTTTTGTTCGCTTTTACGTCCACCAAAATTTTGCCAGTCAAACTTTAGTCTTGAATGAACAAGTTCGAAAAGACATTTTTAGCAAGCTACTTTCAACTGGGCTGAGTGCAGATGAACTCACTTGCCAAATCTCTTTTCAGAAAATAGTTTTTCCAAACTGTAAATGGCTCCTAACGCAAGACGCAAGAACCTTGTCTTCATTAATGAATCAGCGATCAAACACCACAAAAGTAAGCAGATATTTGTTTGTGTATAGTCAGCCTTGAAAGTGTGGAAAAAACGAAAACAGGTGCCCGATTCTAAATACCTTTAAATTCAATCAAGACTAGGATACGCGCTCATTTCGAAGCAAAAGATCCAGCTGTAAGTCGGTTTTATTATAAGGCACCCTTAAGCATTCATTTATCATAGTGAACTTGAACCCTCAAAGAGTTTAACAAATTAATGTTATTCCTCATGCTTGGTAAACGATGAAATTAGCCGTCTTCGTGCAAGAAACTTTCGGCATTCGTTACTGTCTGTTGAAATTTATAAAATCTTTTTCTTAAAATATTTTTTCAGTAAAATAGACGTCTAAGTGGGAGGCACAGGGTAGTAATGGATAGCGACTCGGATTGAGAAATCGGAGAGCCGAGTTCGAATTCCAGTCGAATCCATTACATTCACTTATGTATTTATACCCTTGGTAAAGGTATGAATCCTCATCTTCTCCCCTACCCCCAGCTATGGGTAAATAGCAGGATAGACCGGGTTCTATAGCCTTGGATAGTAACTGGTCTACCGCAGAAAGAAATGGCAACCTACTGCGCGAAAAATCTACCCCGTCAGTCATGTATCGAAAGATACATGATCGCCTAAACGGGTATCACGCATGGCACATAACTGACTAAAGTCCACTTACATCGCTATTTCTAGTATTGATGGGAGTTTCCTTGCAAGCCTTTTATGATAGTGTGAAAAATCAATATCTTTGTTATATCCTGATTTTTTCCTTCCAGTTACATGTATCACTCATTTTGATTGTTGCTCTTGAAAGTGTTCAAGTGATATGGATTTTGTTACTTCGTAAAATTCTTTCTTTGTGATTCTGTAGCGCTAGTCTAAAGGGTCTGGCGAAGAATTATCATCTTTAAGATCTAAAGAATTAATTCGCTTGAAACCATTCAAATTATTGTTCTGAGAATGTGTATATGTGATAGTTTAGACATTTCAGAATGAGCTGGACGCCATGCTTGACAGTCATATGAGAGTCTAGGTCTGACGAGGAAATTCCTGTATCTTGGCAAAATAACTACAAAGAAATCTGATTTTATTTTTTTATTTTTTACTCCTGAAATCTTTGATGCTCACCTAAGCTGAATAACACCAATGATAATTACATGTGACTAAAAAAGACAAGGGAAAATAGTTTGATTCTTTCTCATCACCATAGAGAGGCCGAGAAATGCGGGAGAAGTGATCTAAATGTTTCAGGTTTTGTTTTCATTTATTTTCGTTCATTGAGTGAATTGTAAGCTTGCTACATAGCTTTACTCACCTCCTTCTCGGTTCTTACTCCTACTTCTTTATAGGTAGACGCATAACCACACCCTTTTTTCTTCAACCGGTGTTTTTTATTCCTTGGCTTTTCTGTATTGGCGTTTGGGATTTCTCACTCCCACTGTTCATTTTACTTTTTTATTTTATTCAGAACTAATTTTACAGCACATGAAGGACTCTCTCTCTCTCTCTCTCTCTCTCTCTCTCTCTCTCTTTCTCTTGCGCTCCCTCTCTTTCTCTCTATCTCTTGCGCTCACTATTTATTTCTCTTGCGCTTGCTTGTGCTCACTCTTTATTTCTCTTGCGATCTCTCTTACACTCTCTCTCTCTCTCTCCTTCACTCTCTCTCTCTCTCTCTCTTTCGCTCTCTCTCTCTTTCGCTCTCTCTCTCTCTTTCGCTCTCTCTCTCTCTTTCGCATGTTTACGCTCTCTCTTTCTTTCTCTTCCGCTCTCTTTCTCTCTTTCACTTGCGCTCTCTTTTTCTTGCGCCCTCTTTCTCTCGCGCGCGCACTCTCGTTCTCTATCTCTCTCTTTCTCTCTCTTGCGCACTCTCGCTCTCTCGCTCGCTCTCTCTCTCTCTCTCTCTCTCTCTCTCTCTCTCTTGCGTTCTCTCTTTCTCTCTCTGTTTTTTTTCTTACGCCTTCTCTCGCCTTCAGTAGCTATTCTCTGTTACTTTTGATCCGATTGATCAAATTAATAACAGACAGGTTCTAAGCAATCTGATTTTTGCAAAAGATTCAATGTTGTGAGGGGAAATATTCAGAGACTACTACAACGTTTCTTTTTAAGTGATGATGTCATGCATTTAAAAATACATATTTTTATATCTAGTGTTTAATTATGGACGATATGAAGTTACGTGATGATTATCGGCAGAGAAAACAGAATCGATAGACTAAATTCATGTTTCAATTGGAAATACTTGCGTTCAGTTCGTACTCGAGGCAAAGTGAGCGCGTAAATCTATAGAGGAAAAATGCATCTCGAAGGTTTTGACTACAAGCCAATGAAGAACACCCGGGCATGTAATTTACTAACTTACCTTTCCTAATAGTGATTTTATATAAAAGAAAGTATAATCTAACACTTGCGAAGGACATACCATAAAAAAGATGAGAGGGGAATAGTTTAGTATACCAACGGATGATGCATGCCAGCGGGGACGCAAGCAGACATTTCTAGACTGTGGGTGGGGGTGCGTGTATACAGGGGTATGTGGTTATACCATTTCAGCCACGTACACTTGTGCAACGCAGCGTACATCGGCTAGTTATATACAAAAATTTATTGATGATAAGCAATGAAGTGGGGGGGGGTGAACCCGAAACCAAACTAAAATAGAACAAAACGCACAAATTAAGAATAATTGATGTCCATAGGACCCGTCCAAACCTCAAAAGAAATGAGACAGACCGCTGTATTCTGTCTACAGACAAAATCAAGAGGCTTTCTCGCTAAGGGAAAGGGGAAGATAAAATAAATACGGACATGAAGAGCGTGTAGCAGACTGGCGAATGTGTATGTTGATTTATCAGAAGGATTATTTATGTGATTGTTCTAAAACATTCATCCACAACAATTAAAGAGAGAAAGAGCATTGAAGACAAAACATGCAAGATGGATCAAAGTAAAACAAAGATTATTAAAGGCATAAAAATAACATTAATTTATGTACAATTTACATATACTTTGGATATATTTGTGTAATTGAGGATAGCTAAGCTAATTTATGAAGAGTGAACACGTCTCTCCGATTCCTCAATCCGTACCGCTATCCATTACTCCACCGTGCCTCCCTAGTAGCACGCTTAAATCCGTGCAGTTGAGGCACCAAGAAGGAAAACTCATTATAACAAATAATATCTGTAGAAAAGACAGGGGGAAGCCACGCGGTGAGAAAGTGGCTGAATTCGAGATGCAAGGTCAGTATTGATTACATTACAGACCATTCTTTGAATTTTATCAAGAATCTCAAAATATATAGCAGACGCGCCAGACAAGATATAGCAGCAATATTCAGTGGACAGACAAATGGGACTTTTTTTTTTTACTGTTTCGTTATCCCGTACGTAACATTGATAATATTTTTAATAAAAAATCCCATTTACGGAAAACAAAACAAATGCATAAGTAGATCAATTACGTAAAGCTTTTGTAAGAGAGTCTGGCGCAAATTATGCTGATATACTTTGTCTCGGTGAAATCACCATTAGGAAAGACAATTTAGTAAATTACATGCCTGACTGTTCTTCATTGGCTTGCAGCCAAAACCTTCGCGATATAGTTCTTTCTTTATAATAATACAGCAATACAAGTAGCAGTCATTATGCATAGTGAAACTGATTTCTCTCTCTCTCTCTCTCTCTCTCTCTCTCTCTCTCTCTCTCCCTCCGCCTACCACTACTTCTCTCTACCCCTGACTCTTTCCTTCTCTTTTTCCCCCTCTACCACTCTCCCGCTCTCATATATAATTGCCCGAATGTAATAGACTGTATTCTTTTGGTTCTTGTCGGTATGGCCAAAAGTGGGACTTGTGGTCTATGCTCACCACCAAAGGACAGAATTCTGATCAAACAGGATACATGGAGGACATGCGCTGTGATGAACATGAGATAAAGGACCATTTACTATAATATATGTGTGTGTGTGTGTGTGTGTGTGTGTGTGTGTGTGTGTGTGTGTGTGTGTGTGTGTGTGTGTGTGTGTGTGTGTGTGTGTGTGTGTGTATACCGCCATTAATCTGGTATGTGTAATGTATAAAATGAATTTTTAAAAGTGAAAAGCTTTCATTTTAGCTTTAATTGAAAGCTAAAGGATTTAAAATTTACTATTTCCAGTAAGCAAAATACTCGGTGGTGTATCTCAAACAGAAATTATATTGATCGGAATCGATTTTTTTCATTGAAATCGATCAAAACGGCTTTTTTTTTTACACATTTGTAAACAAAAGTTAAAATCTTGCAAAAATAAAATGTATTTCTGAAACGTTATTTCAAGAAAATTACCAAATTTAAAGTTAAATTAATCTTATTTTTAAACATATATTAATTACTTATAGCATAAAATGTTGTATACAAACAATTCTTAACTACGGGGTCCTGTTTTCTGACATGTTAATCGATTTATTTACATACGTTTGACAACGTTACGTTTGAAGCTTGTTTTCATCACAGTATGCTGATTTTTTTTTAGCGTTTGCGTGGAGGTATCTAATATATATATATATATATATATATATAAGGGTAGGTGAAGGACAAAAAACTTCCTTCACGATATAATAATCTCTTTAATTTAATTTTATAGGACTTCATGGTAAACAATATTTTTTAAGAGAAATTCTTTTTTTTTTCATTTTTAACAGCGAAGAATAAATTCTTAGGATTCCTTGCTCTTGAACATGCAACATACAACTGGTCATGCTTAAATATTTCTTTCTGGAGCCAAATTTTAACTTTTTGAAGCGTTTGTCCTCGTGATTTATTTATAGTTCTCGCAAACGCAAAGTGAACTGAAAACTGGATTCTTGTGTGTGTATATATAATATATATATATATATATATATATATATATAAGAAAGTATATCCCCAAAATATTATTGCATTTTTATTGAATAAGTATTTATTTTAATCATTAAATTGTTGTTAAAATAGTCGGATTATTTTGTATGTTAAATAATAAAACTTAATTTTTCCCAAAAATTTAATGAAAAATTATTGTACTAAGCTCTGCGCCCTAGTAAAACGAATTGTGCTTTGTACCTCCTTACCTGTTAGCACTTCTCCCCAAATTTTGGTTTCGATCGTTCAACGCATGCTATTTCAGAGGGTGTGACGGACGGCCTAATGGAAGTCACAGAATTATATATATATATATATATATATATATATATATATATATATATATAAGTACTATTCATTCTAATCTCCGTCTTCTGTTAATAATTTATTATGAAAAATATGCTTTTATGATATAAAAACTTAACTCGGATCGGTTTCCCTTTAACTCATCTCAGATGTAATATGTATTTTATCTAGTCCTAATTTATTACACCGAGATGCGAATTTCCAACTTACTAGAATTTACAATACATTCTGTCTGTAATGCGCTCTATCTGTCGGCAAAAGATATCCCTGGTGTGAGACAAACGATTGATTGTAATAGAAACAATAAAACATTTTATCCTGTTGTATTCTTTTAAATTCGTGGTATTCAACCGTTTCGTTTTTGTTTTCATATCGATTCTTCTAAGTTCCTAATTGCTATGTGTCCGTGATGTACACAAGTAGATCGTAGTTCCGTCTCAAAAGAATTTCGGAGCTGACATGCTAAATAAAACACTAATATTTGAATTAGTTACTCATATTTTACATGGAACATTTTTCTTGCACATCATTAGAAGCACGTTCGGAAACTATATTAATCATGTCTCCTTGACGCCAAATCAAGGCTTTGCGGTTACCAATGTTTAGCTACGAAATTGTTGGGTCACGAAAACTCGTTGCCTTATCTATAAGGACGCTTAAAATGCTACTTGTTCTTTCATAGAGTTTCTTGGATAAGTAAGATTTCTTACTTATCTAGATTGCCAGAGTAAATTCATAGATAGGCGTTTCTCAAGGCAAACCGAAACGACTTTTATATCATAAGTAAATATTTACATATACCAGATTCTATAAAATAGTTAAAGAGTAAGATATTCAGATACTGGACAAAGTAGCACAACGTGATTATTTCGTCGACAAACTGTTTAGGTTGCTATAATAAATTAGCTGTAAAAATCAATCCTTAATAATAATAATAAGATGATGATGATGATGATGAAGATTAAGATTGGTTTGGTTTTTACGGTTTCTCAGCCTTTTGCAGATTATTTAAAACCAGAAAATATTTTTAGATTGTAAGAATTATGTTTTGGAAATAATGACTTACTGATATAACTCCTACTAATTAACCTATAGAAAGAGGTATTGGGTTGGTGCATAATTATCAGGCGTTTTTGTAGGCGAGTTATTTGTTAATAAAAATTGCTGTTTTGTTTAATAAAAATATTATTTTATTTTCAGGTTATAAAAATGCGTGTCGATAATCATACGCTCCGGAATAATCATTTAATAATGTTATTGTTGAATTGGTATGATTCTTTTTTCATAATAAATATTGTTTAAAAAACGCCTGATAATTATGCACCAACCTAATAGATTCATACCTTTCCCAATGGTATTTGTTTAAGTGAATATAACTAACTCGACTGGAATTGGAACTCTGCTCTCCGATTAACAATTCGGAGCCGTTATCCGTTAAATCACCCGCACATCCAACCTTACAGCACCTAGTATTCTCAAGCGGTCACCCATCTAGGTACTGACCAGGCTCGAAGTTCTTAACTTGATCGTACGAAAACCAGTGTTTCAACGTAATATCGCCGTAAGCCAATAATAATAATAATAATAATAATAATAATAATAATAATGATCTGATGCTACGCTAGACATGGTTCTCTTCTGAACTTAATTGATTGGAGATATTAACATGTACATGTTTTGTACTGGGGAATTAAGAGAAAATAACGAGATAATGAAGATGTTAATTTTGTACACTACCAAAAAAAAAAGGTTAGGAAGGAAACTGCCATCAAGACAAGAACTTGAGAAATCTATTTTATGGAAACGGTTACTCCCACCATTACTTTAAATCGCGCATGTATAAATATTTACTCATGACATAAGTGTTAGGATTGGCTCTGGTGAAGGTTTACCTAATAATTAATGCAGTGGGGGCTTCGATTTGTTCTATTGTGTGGCAAAATCGTTAAAAAGAACACGTGGCCCAGTGGTTAAAAGCGTTGGTTGAAGTAATCCATTAACTTGACCCAAAGAGTTGTGAGTTCAATACCTGGTCACAGCAAAGGCTTGGAGAGCTGAGTTGCAAACTGAAAAGCCATAGTACGTGGGGCTAGAACAATCTAAACAATTCCAACGTATATCACCTGAAATAGGCCGAAGTGTACAACGATCGAAACGTCGTGAATATGACAATAAAGATAAGAACAACAGTCCAAACAATGTAAATAGTGTAAAAAATAGATAAATAGTTGGATGTCTGTGCACAAGCACTAACAAAGTATGTGTCAAATAAAACCTAAAACTGTTTAAATCAATTTCCTCCTGGCATCATTTGTTTTCCCAGAATATTTTAACTAAACTATAAACTTATTTTGAAAGTGAAAATTTCACTGAAATATGTTGGAAAATTTCAAATATTTCATTTGAAATCAAGAACAAACTTCAAACAAAATGGTCACAACATATGGGGGGGGGCAGGGGGGCGCTTAGTTTAAGCTGACTCTAGGAGGTCATAGACTCCAATGACATATTCTTTTACATATTTCTAAATTATAAATACAAGCTATAATTTTAGAAGGTGAAATTTTCACTGAAATACGTTGGAAATGTTTTTGTTTTTTGTTTTTTCATTTTAAGCAAAATGGTCACTATATGAAAAAACTAACGCCAGGAGGATTTCGATATCTGTCTCTATATCTCGAAGATGAGGTATTATGATTACTTACATTATTTACATTATCTGGGCTGTCATTTTCATCTTCTTTGCCATATTCACAACGTTTCAACCATTGTATGCCTCGGCCTTCTTCAGGTGATTGGGATTTCGAACCGAACCCTTTATTTCGTCCACCAGGGTAGATTATTCTAGTTCCACGTACCATGCCTCTTCCGGATGTCTCAGTTTTTTTTCTCTTTAACTCAACTCTCCAAGTTTTTGTTCACTACTGTTGTGCAATAGTACTGAACTCACAAGTCTTTGGATCTAGTCATTGGATCTAAAAAGTGGATGAAGGCGTTGGTTAGATTCAGTGACTAGACTCAAAGAGTTCAATACCTGGGAACATCAGTGGTGAACCAAAACGTGTAGAGTTGACTTAAACGAAAATAAACGTCATTTATTCTGCCATCTCTAGTAATACTTCAGTTAAGGACGCCTTTGTTTGGAAAGTATTTATTTAAAAAAAAAAAAAAAACATGACCCCTTTGCTAATAAAAATTAAGTTTTGCAAAATATATGTATATATGTACACATCTACCACAGAGAATTGTCAACTCGATTGTCAAGAGCACTGTGTACAAAGTGTAGATTAGGCAAAAAAAAAACTCCTTTCTTTGGAGGCTTACGGACAAATCACCAATTCTCATACGACCACCCAAGTTAAACAACGTCACGCCTGGTCAGTACCTAGATGGGTGACCGCTAGGGAATACAAGGTGCTGTAAGCTTGGATATGCACGTGGTCTACTGGATAATGGCTCGGAATTTTTAATTGGAGATCTGAGTTCCCATTCCGTTGCGTTCCTTACATCCACTTACATGCAAACAGCCTTGGAAAAAGTATGAATCTTCCTGTTTCTCCAAAACAATGGGTTAACTAGTAAAACTTGTATCACAATCATTATCATCTCAAAAAATACTCTTAGAATCTAAAAATGTTTCCTGGCTTTAAATAACCGGCAAAGTGTTGATAAAAATGATTGAATCAACCAATCAATCACCTCTGATAATACTCCATTCAGAAAACCTTTATTTGGACAATCTTTCAATCTTAAGACAAGTTTTATCCAAGAAAAACAAACATGATCGATATATTAGCTGATAAAGATTGTAAGTTTTCCAAAATTTGTGTATATATGTACACATCTACACGGTGTGTACCTATCAGTAATCACCACAAAGGTGTTTCTTCTTTTGTTTGTTTAACAGCATAACAACTGCTTATTTAATGCCGAAATTTTAATTTTCTTTGGAGCTTTGAAGTATTAAAAATATGTTATTCTGCTTTCACAATACATGATTATTCTGCTTGAATACATGGCAGATGATACACAGATTTTGTGCATATACATTATTGTGTGGTCATGATTACTCGAGGCGGTGGTATGTGTGTTTTATGTTGTAGTTTTATTGAAGCTTTATTTTGGAATACAGTTTGATTTCTTTAAGAAATTATAGAATATTATATGGGTTGAGGTCATGAAAAAGTTCTTTCATGTTGGTTGTTTGATTGATTTCGTTTTGTGACATATCAACATTTCTATGGGTTATTTGATGCTGAAATGTAAATATTTTGAACACAATTTTATGGCTTCAGATAAATATATTTTTAACGCAATGCCTTCAAATACAAATAAAATGTATTGCTAGCCATTTTGCTTTCCGTCCTGAGTATGACGATAAACTACAACCGCGTCCTGGGTAAGACGATAGACTACGTCCAACAACAAAGCCTCTGATCAGGAGGTTTTGTGAAGCGTGGAACCACCTCTTAATTGCTGGTGTTCCCAGGTCCACTCTGACCCGTGGTAGCACCTGTTAGGGTCCCCAACTATGGGCAAAATGTTAACCCCCAAATAGGAGTCAAAACGCTGTGGAGGTGTAAAAATAGGTATTAATACCAGCAATAAATTTCTTTAGGGAATTAATTATTAACAGTAATACATTGTTGAGGAAAAAATTATTAAAAGCACTACATTTTTTAAGAAAGTTATTACCAGTAGTATAGTTTTGAAGGAAAAATTATTATCAGAGATACAATTTTGAAGGAAAAATTATTACTAGCAATGCTTTTGTGAAGGAAGAATTATTGCCAACAATACATTTTTAAAGGAAAATTATTACAAACAAAATATTACTAGCAATACATCTTTGGAAAAAAATATTACCAAAATGATTTTTGAAAGGAAAAAACTTTACCAGTAATACTTACTTTGAAAGTTTAAAAATAGGTTTTAATACCATAAATACTTTGTAAAAATTATTACCAGCGATACATTTTTTGAAGGAAAAATATTAACCAGAAATAGAATTTTTGAAGGAAAAAAATATTACCAGCAATACAGTTTTGGAAAAAAAATATTACCATCAATAATAATTGTCGGCATTAAATAACTCATTGAGGTTGATATGCCGTAAAACAAACCAAACCAAACCGAATTATTATTTTGCTTTAAAAATGTATTGTTGGGAATTTTACTATAAATATGTATAATTTTTTTTTATCTAGAAATGTGTTGCTGGAATTTTTATACTTTTATAATGTTTTGTGGTTCATTATTTGCCCATAGTTTGGACCCCTAACATGTGCTACCACCCGGGGTCAGAGTGGAACTGAGAATAACAGCAATTAAGAGGACGTTCCACAGTATTCAAAACCCCCAATTTCCTGATCAGAGGTCTTGCTGTCGAATGCAGTTACCCCAGAGGTCAACAATATCGCCTACTGGATGGTTCAAAGTTGTATATACAAAGTATGGGTTAAATGAAAAATACTCTTTCTATGGGTTTGTTTCTTTCTATCTGAAGAGAAACCATTTAATTTGTTTTTTTTATTTATTTATTTTTTTTTTTTTGCTCGATAAAATGAATCTACTTTTCTACGCAGATGTTGCACTTGGAATAAGAGGTCCGTTTGATTTCAATTTGCTTTGTTTTCCTCTAAATCTACTAAGTAGCTGAGATACCAAAACAAATAAAAATCGGTCTTAATGTAAGAATGCGGGAGAAGTGATAAAGACAAAGTGAGAACTAAAATTTTCAATATTATCAGTCTTGCTAACGACCATACATTCTTAACTTAGAAATTATGCACATCATTATCTCGTTTCGATTTGCCATTTCCCTACAGGACGTGAGCGATCATGGCTCTCCACAAGTTGGTATCCTTCGTACCTCTTACTCCCATGTTCAGCGATCCATTTAAACACGTTCGTTAAGTATCTTACTTGTTGTTTCCCCTCTACCCCTCCTACCTTCAATGTTCTGTGCGTGTCAATTTCTCCAAGCCTTCTCTATCGTTGTGGGATCCTGAAATTTCAACTCTTTCTGATTCTGTCCTTTTATTACTATTTTCTTTTAATCTTCCCGATTTCACACATTCTTTCCTTGTTATTACTCTGTCCCTCTTGCCTTCAATCTGTCCCGTGAGCATCCGATTTTCCAAGCCCTCTTTCCTCATTATACTTTCTAGAAATTTTATCTGTCTCTTCCTGGTGTTAAGCATAAGTTTCTTTGTTTCGTTAGGAAAGAAGAAAAGGGTATTGAACTGTTATGTAATATCAGTCCTTCTATATGGCAATGAAAAAAGAATCTAGATTTCACTATCATGTAGGCGTATTGATATTCCATAGCAGTTTAACACACTTTTCCTCTTTCCTTAAGGATACTTAAGGAAAAGGGTTAAACTTAGGAACATTAAGATTACCTCCTCGATTATCCATCGAAACTGCAATCCACCGAAATAAGAAAGAAACCAGTCCCCACAGCGAGCCATTTAAAAGATAGTTCGCGCAGCAGATTGGTTGATACAAACATCCAATCGGATGTGCGGAATATGTGATCTGTCTTCGTTTAATTCTTTAAAAAAGCCAGAGTAACTGTTAGCGTTTGATTGAGAGGAGGAATCAGGGATTGATCTCCCCTGATTGGGTCGATTTGGTGATGGGGAGTATGATGTTGAAAGACCCGAAACTCCCTGATGAACTAAGTCAAAACATCACTGACGACACCCTCGGGCACCTACTTAAAAGCGTATTTTTTAATTTTTCCTAACGAAACTTTCTTAATTTTTTGCTTAGCATTTAGAAGGCATCTCTCGCTATTCCAATACGCACACTGATTTCTGTTACATTTCCGGTCGTCTCTCCAGATAGTTAAATTTCTGCAATTGTTTGCTTTTGACATCAACAACTCGTAACTCGCACCTTCGGCTGTGCTTCTTGTTAACGACCATGCAATCTTAACTTTGTCTTGAACAAAAAAAAAATTAGTTGAGAGATTGACATGAATGAAAAATAAAGATATCAAGAAGTAATGAAAAAATGCTCTGTAATATCAATTCTGTCATAAAAAATGAAATATAATAATAAAAAAAAATGGAATGAAAAATAAAGTCCTGGAAGGTAAATAAAATAAATGAGCGGAAAAAAGTGATTGGAAAAGTAGAATGAAATTAACGAAGAAATGAATAAAGAAACAATGGGAATGAGAAAAGAACGAAGACGAAAATGAAAGATTAATCAAGTAGAAAGGATTCAGAAAGGCTTATAAAGAGTGTTTGTTTAAAAAAGAAATATATTGAAAATTAGTTTTATCATAATGAAGGTACACTTGATGAAAATGTTTGACAAACAAAATGTTAAGGAATAATAACGCATTTGCGCATGAGCGTAACGACATATGTTTGCCAGCTCATCGAAATAATAGCAAAATTACTTGATTAAGAACTGTTCGATAAGATGTGCGTGTAGCGTAGTGGTTATCGACGTGGGTAGAGGAATTGTTGTCGTAGTTCAAATTCTAACCAAGTCCTTTCGCACAAATACCAATGAGAAAGGCATGAATTCATCCCTTCTCGATGAGCTGCCAAACGTAAGTCGCTATGCTCATGTACAAATGCGTTAATATTCCTTAACATTTTGTTATGAAACATTTTCATCAAATGTACCTTCATTATGATAAAACTTTACTTTTTACCAGACTTTGAATTATGACACTTTGTGTCCTCCATATGCTTTGTCTGACCTGATGAACATTCACGAACGTTATCAAATTCATAAGACTTGAAAAACCAATGACATCCTTGCCTCTGTATATAAACACGTGCAGTATAATAAATCCTACATTGCCTTGATAAAGTCCCACAGAAACGCGTCGATCAAGTATAGTTTTCCTGTTGTCTTTTTTTATAATATGTATATATATATATATATATATATATATATATATATATTGTTAAATATAACAGACAATGAATATCTATTATATTTGATCATGAGCCGTTCTAAGCTGCCTATAGTAGTTTTAGTTTCGGTGGAAAATAAAGCCAAAACCGTCAACAGTGTAGTAAAAATATATCCAAATGTTGGACAGTTTTATTCTTTATTTTGTCCCGAAACTAAAGCCACAATACGAAGCTTAGAATCGCCCATGATCAAACATAATCGACATTCGTTGTCTGTTATATTTAACAATTGATGTTTGAATAATGATCTGTTGCTCCAATGCACAATACATACATACACACACACACACACACACACACATATATATATATATATATATATATATAAGAAAAACTTGTTAGCTTTTGCTCTCGACTTGGGCTAATTCAAATTTTACTTTCAATATCCTTGTGTGGACTTTTCTTAAGTAAAATTGCTGCCTATTTTTCAGGGATTTTATTTTGATTCAAAATGGTTCCCAAAAGCTTGCACCAATGCTAA